CTATTTGTTTTATTTTTCTATAATTTATAAATTAGCATGTGTAGGTCCAGTTCTTAAGTATTAATAACAAAACAAATTCAAACAAAATCACACAAAACAACGGGAGAAAAACCTCGGATTTGAGTTACTGCTCTCGACACAATATCTCAGAAACCACTCGTTCCATTATGATTAAATTTAGAACAATAACATGTTTTAATTGTCTTTTGCAGCACTTACACAAAGAACACTGAATGGCCTGCCGGGAATCCTGTAATTAACAATCTAAATTTAGGCCTCTGAGAGGTTTTTATCTGCTGTATCACTGATGTGATTTTCCACTGAGCATCTTACATCATCCATCCAGAATACTTGCTGAGCAACACTTCTCATCAATGCCATCATCACGTCAAACTTTCTGGTATGAAAACATCTCAAAGTGTTGGCCAGTAAGCAGCTGTGGGTGGAGTTTAATAGACCAACTTCATGTTACCGTTTTATGGCGAAGGCTTTTGCTTTGAAGAACTGCTCCCTCAGTTTCTCTATGATCATCTGTTTGCGGGTCTTCTGATGGACGCTGGCCTCGCTGCCGTCCTTGCGGCTGCTGTTGTGGGAAGCGGTGCTTCCTGTGGAAACAATTTACATTTTGAGCTGTAAATGAAGCGTGAAGATGCAGCCTGAGAGTCATAAGCACAGTACTAACCTAAGGGTTAAGTCTGGAGAGCACAGGGGATAGAGTTTGTGACACACAGTCAAAGACGTTCTACTATTTAATGTTGTTATTATCAATATTGTTTGAAGAATTATGGTTGTGCTTACCACGTAATTTCCTCATTCAATCCCATATTTTACACCAGTTGTCTTCTTCCAATAAAGCCCTATATAATTCATACCCATGCCAACTTTTGATTTATGATGAATTTTATTTGGTGCATAGTTTCTTCTGGCTGGGAATTGCATCAACAAGTGACAAAAGATGGTAACGCATGTGTTACTGGTCAACTGGAAATAATAGACAAAACCCAATAGTGCAGTGAGCTTTCTGTCAGGGTCCTTCACTGAGAAAGAAAGCTGCACATTGTGGCTGCTCACAAGATATGAAGTAATTTTAGACATGGTATTTTTGGTCAAAAATGTAAAAAGAAACATCTTCCGTCAGCTCTTTGTGTCATTTCCAGCTAAAAGAAATCTGTTGGTTAAAAAAACAATCCACTAGAAATCAAACTTTGGTACGGCTGTAAATAATTTGGGGTTTAACTGTGTATACACCAATAAAATAACCATTTAGAACAACAGAGCAGAGCCTTCACCTCTCTTGGACCTTGCTGATGAATGGAGGGATCGATGAGAAAGCGAGCCTCCACTGGAGCTCGTGCGTCGCTGGTAGGTCTGCTGCTGCGGGAAATGCACCTGAACGTGTCCTGAATCTATGGAGGTCCCGAAGTTTATAGACCTCATGGTGTGAGTGGAGCTTCTCCTCTCGTTGAAGAGCGACGAGGCAGGTTCGGACTCCTTCTCGCTCTCCTCCCTGTCCTTCTCTTTTCCTTCATCCTCAGACTCGCTCTGACGAGGAGCCTCTTTCTTCTCTTTGGGGTCGTCTTCGTCCCAAAGCCCGTGGCACTGGAAGGACAAAGAAAAGGTGATGAAATGGAATGAGAAACTACGACAGAGAGTCCAAATGCATGAAACATTTGGAGTGAAAATCCATGCTGTGAGTGTTGCAGAATGTTCGTCCCAAAAATGCTAATTTTGTGAATCAATCAATCAATCAGACTCTATCTGTGTAGCACTTTTCATGAAAGTGCATCCATCAAGATTCAAGGGTTAAATAGCAATTAAATACTAACTGAGCACTTTATTAGGACCATTTTATGTGAAGTAGCTTTATCACTTATTTCTCAAAACAACTGTGTGCTGCAGTTTTTAGAAAACTCCATGAATAAACAGTGAATTTGACGACTATTGTGGTTCCCTAAAACACACTGGAGGGTACCAAAGGTGTTATCTTAACAAAAAAAGAAGCTAAAATTACAAAAAAAATTGAAAGCTTTCAACCGTAAAGACAGAAAAAAAATGTCAGATTTTTTAATTTTCTGAAGGCCTTTTAACTACACATCTATGAAACGCATTATATATATAATGCCTTATGCTTCATGTCTCATTTAACAATTTGCCAAAAAATAAACTACTTGTGCCAGAATCTGTTAAAATCCCAAAATTCTTCACTCCTCATTGCAACTACGAAGCCATTCGTCACTCAGCTGTGACCAACAATCAAGTGACAAAAGGTCTGACAATTAAAAATGTAAATAGTAAAATATCTATTGATATGATTTACGATTATATTTATTATTGTTTTGTATAAAATATATGTTATATTGATTTTTTAAAAAAGTGAGTTTTTACAAGATTGAATTTCCCTTCTGGGATAAATAAAGTATTGTTTTTCATTTCATTATGACATTGTAACTGTGTCATACTGCACAGAAAACAGTTTCATGTTCTCTCTTACAGTCATGGCTGTGCTGTTTTGATAGAGGTGAAGGATTTTGTACTGCACTCAAAAATGAGCCCAGAGTGAGTAAAAATGTGAAAGGAGCAGAAAAAACATACAGAAGCTGCTTCAGAAGTTCAGAGGATTAGCATGTGTAGGTGTTCTAATGAATTTGCAGCTGGATGAAGAACTTTTTGGACTACACTGGATCTCTATGCTGATTTTATACAATCTGCTGACAATAATAAAAGCAGACGTCCACGTATTCTGTGTTTTCACACACCTTCAGAATGGACCGGTGGAAGAACAGAGCCAGTAACTGGACCAGGTCATAGTGAACGTAACCATCTTTCTTCTCCACACCGATGATGTTAGGAGGGTAATATGGTTTGTTCTTCTCTAGCTTGTGCTGGTTAAAGGGGAAGAAGCCAAACTGGAAGAAGTACTTGATGACGATGGTGACCTGCAGGAAAAACAACATCAGTGAAGCTTTCAGAACAACAAGACAAACCGACACAACAGAAAATTGTGTTACATTTGTGCAACAAATCAATACTGTTATAGTCAAAAACTAAATTTAAAAAAATGAACTGAATCCTGTGGTACTGTGGATGACTGAAACAATTTAGTCAAGGTCCATACTGGAGCTTTATTCTCCAACCAGACATTCAACATTTCAAAAATCCGGCGAAGGCAGCAGACACCCTGGACAGGCCCTGGACAATTTAGAATCACCAATTAACCTCAACATGTTTTTGGACTGTGTGGGAGGAAGCCAGAGAACCGGGAGAGAACCCACACTGCACGGGGAGAACATGCAAACTCCACACAGAAAGATTCTGGGTGTCTTCACCGCGACGCAAACAGGGGATCATTTCCAAAATACTTACAGAATAATCTGAAATACAACACATGAACTGAATAAAGCTTGCACATATTTAAAAATGCTGCACCTCTGTGTAGACGATGGCAGTCATCCAGTAGCGCTTGCTGGGTCGAGGCACCGACAGCATGGCCCAGAGGAAGATGGTGATGGGAAGGACCAGAGTGACACAAGAGGCCGACACCATGTGGTTGATGATGATGACCAGGTAGCAGACGAACTCGGAGTGCGCCACCAGCATGTTGTAGAGGGCGTAGCAGAGCTGCAGGATCAGAGGCTGGCCGCGGTAGAACTTTTCTGACTGGTCCAGCTCCTCGTCATAAAACATCCTGGACAGACAGACGGAGGAACTGATGAAGTACTACGCAGATATTGCTACTTGATTATTCACTGATTCTGAAAAAACAGGGCATGGAGAATAGGTGGACTTTTCCTTTAAGTATTAAAGGAAGGTCTCATATGGTGAAAATACATTTTTATTGTGTTTTTCCACCCGGAGGTGTGGACAAGCTGGCACGAATTGCATTGCACTGCTACACAAACTTACACTGTGCAAGTTTGAGGACCAACAAGGTGTTATTCTTAAAATGAACTTGCAAATTTTTGAACTTACTTGTTGAGCAGCAGATCGCTGGCGGTCAGCTCAGTGGTCATTGAGGGCAACATGATGTCAGACCTGCTGTCTGAGCGGCTGTCGGAGGTCATCAGCATTCGCCTCTTCCTGTCCTCCATGTCGCTCTCGTCGTCGCTAACCTCCAGACGGTCAAAGCTGACGGCTTTGCTGTAGCTCGGAGGCACATCGGCGTCAGACGTCTTGGAAGCATCTGTATCAGCAGTGTAGAAGAGCCCCGTCTGGGATTCTGTCTGCATGAAGTCCTGCTGTCCTCCATCCTCACTCTCAGTGATGAAGTCGTTCTCCTGACCAGAAGGGCCAGACTCCGTCTCCTCCGGCCTCAAGGAGGGGCCCTCGTCTGGACCAAAGGACTCCCATGGAGCCCCCTCTGTTTCCTGGTCCTCTCGTACCTCCACTCCCTGCAGTCCCTCCTCACCTTCCTCACCCTTCTCACAGTCTTCCTCCTCCTCCTCCTCCGGCTCCTCTTCTTTCTCCACAGGTTCTTCACTACTCCAGGGTCCACCCTCAGCATCCTCACTCTCATCCAGCTGTTGGGATTCCCAGGGAACCTGCTGCCGCTCTTCTCCCTGATCCTGCTCATCCTCCACTTCTTCTATGGTGTCTGTAGTTCCCTGTCTGGAGTAGAGCGTGACGCACTGGGTCGCCTCACTGCAGACGACAAAAAAAGACATTTAGGTCTGACCATTTAGATTGCTAAAACTATTAAACTGTTATCTGAAACTGAATTGGTTTCCAAGTCATGGGGAAAGCACATGTACAGAGATGCACTGAAATCTTTATTACATAGAAGCCGTACAAAATTCTTTTCATTTCTAACCATCCACTTGACTGACTACAATTACATTTTTTTATGCTGAGCCCTACCCACGGAAAAAGACATTTCCTTCTGGTGAAAACTTTAACTATTTACTTTAAACCTCCTGTTTAGCAATTAAAATCTGCAAACAGCAGTTAATAGATTGAAAAGATGAGAGCCTCATACAACGCAGAAGAGGCTTAGAAACAGAAACACTGTCAGAAGGTCAATATTTCACATTTAAACAAACAAAATAATAATGTTTATATGCTGTCAGAGAATGCTAAGAAGAGGAATTGAAGTAAAACTGAAATACGTCTCAATGAACACTGAAACAAGAAGTGAATATTTAGAACCAACCCTAAATAAGAGCGAAGCAGCTGCTGAGAAGGAACAGACAAACATGACAAAATCACTTTTCATGTCAATGTTTTTGGGTGTAATCCTTATTTAGATTATCTTTATGGTTTCTGACAGATTGCAACAAACAAAAGTCGTGCACTGACTCAGCTGAAGTGAAAAAAATAACAGCGATGAGAACAAGAGTCGGGAGATGCAATGATGTCGTTCATGAGAGTGAGACAGGTGTGTACGTGGACGATGCAGAGGCCAGGCACCTGGATATGAAGCTGCTGCCGCTTTCCACTGATGAGTTGGACACGTCCAGGCCGTACATCTTACGTAGTTTGGGCCTGGCACGCTCGCTGGTTTTTGGAATGAACTCTGCGTCCAGGTCTTCCAGGGTGGATTGGCGAGAAAACAGTGTGGTGGCCTCAGTGACGGCGCTGATAGGTGACGGATGCGATGATCAGGGGGTGAGAAGGATGAGATGGATCAATGTTATGTCACAAAGATAGGTGATATTCTGAGTAATAAAAGCATTTAATCCTACTGTCCTTGTCACATTATTGGGGGAAAAAAACAAACAAAGATGCAGCAAAGAATTTAGATGAAGTGGCTCAACGTGATGAGAATGACTTTTCTTAATGTCAGCTATAAACATGTTAAAGGGTCGTTCACTTCAATGAAAAATAAATTCTACATCTTTCCTCAATAGAAACGAATGACATGAGCTGCAACGCTATTTATGCAATTCATCATCTCTCTTCAGAAACACTGCACACCTGAACCACAACACCTGTCTATGGGTTTAAAGGTAATTCTGTCTTTTAAAAAAAAAGTCAAAATGACACTAGAAACTGTAAAAAACAGCAAGAATTATAAGATTTAGTTTAGTTTTGTTGAACAATTAACCAAATCTAAGCTTGAGGTCATGATAATTTAGAATAGAATAGAAATGTGCAATATCATCAATGACCATGCTGTGCAATATTTTTCTAAATTCATACTGTACATATAACTTATACTGTATACATAACTTATCTTATTTTATGCTTAAATCTCTTCT